TCGCATACAAAACCATCGACACGGCAGTGACTTCCCTTGTCTTTTCTCATGAATTATTGATGAGTTTTTAAAATTAATTTACTCGATCTTCCACACCATATGAAGATTTTAAAACTGATATAGCTATCCAGTATAAATAAAATTAGAGTTCAGTTGCGGTCATCATATCATCTTTACTTCCCCTCAATGTCCTTGTGTAAATCGCGCTCTATTGACGCAAACAATGCAGTGATTGTTCCTTGGATCAACATGTTGATTTTCAACAGTTGGCAAACGTTTTTAATTTCCTGTGTTGTAGTGGTAAAGTCTACATACTTTTAGATATATGCGTCTGCTTGGATCATGTCCAGTTCAAATGGAAAACCTGATAAATGGGCAGGTCATGCCAAAATATTTGAGGTTACCTCCCTGCATGTATGTGCATTGTGCCATTGATCAGTGGTCATTGAGGTCTACCCACTGTCGAGTGTTTGCCTGGGGTGTTTGCCTTGGTGTGAGCCTGAGTGAATTTCGAGATTATAGCCGAATTATTTTTGTGGTATTGGTTAAATAGTATTATAGGGAACACGTTACTACATCAGCCTCAACTGGTATTCGCGTGTTTCAAGACCACGTCGAAACTTCAGTCCGTTCACAGCACAAGATGTCAACTATTAGCCAACCATATTGCTTTGTTGCTGGTGAAGTATAGGACTGGATCAAAATTAATTCACTTCAAATTGCGCAGACCTGAAATCTGGTCCAAGTCCTCATAGTTGGACTTGAAATATTACATCAAAGCTTTGTCCAGTCTTACTTAAGACTATAAATTGCGAATATTATCAGTCGCGAGTCAAGCACTACATCAAAATTTCAGAATTATCACATGATTCGATTAAAACTTTGTCTACCCCCAAGGAATTATTCAAAACTTCAATCAGATAAAATATTTTTATAAAAAGGAACTTCTCACTGCATGGACTTAATCTATAAACTTGATCTCAACTTAATCAAGTTTCGTTTGATTTGTACAACTGATATCCTATCTATTTCTAATGGATTTGATCAATTAATTAAAAGACATACGGAACTGATCAAAACGTTGTTATAGTCCTACACGTATCGACTCCCGCAGAACTTTACCATAATATTATCCAATCTAAATTCTACAAACGTTAAGCCAATCTTAACAAGGTTCTATGTCTTGTCGTGTGTTCAGAAACAAGAAGCATTATTGCTTGCATAAGCAGTTGGTTTCCGCGTGCTTTGCTAGGGAGTGTTTACCACTATGATTCCTTGATTTCCTAGATGTCTACTTGACGAAGGAAGTAAATTTCCCTTGCCATTTTGATAGAAGAGTCATATATAAGTCAGTCATTATGATCATCGTGATCGGGACTTGATTAGGACAATCCTCATTAGGGAATGTTTAGCATGATTGCTTGATTTCCTATAGTCTTCTTCGCGAAAAACCTACGAAGTAAATTTCGCTTGTCACTTTAAGAGTCATATTAGTCAGAGTCATATTAGTCAGAGTCATTCATTATGATCATCATGATCGGGACGTGATTAGGACAATCCTCATTAGGGAATGTTTAGCATGATTGCTTGATTCCTAATCTTCTTCGCGAAAAACCTATGAAGTAAATTTCACTTGTCATTTTAAGAATCATATTAGTCAGAGTCATATTAGTCAGAGTCATATTAGTCAGAGTCATATTAGTCAGAGTCATATTAGTCAGAGTCATATTAGTCAGAGTCATATTAGTCAGAGTCATATTAGTCAGAGTCATATTAGTCAGAGTCATATTAGTCAGAGTCAGTCATTGTGATCATCGTGATTGGGACGTGATTAGCACAATCCTCAATTGACCATTTGCGTAATAGACTAAATTTTGATCTAGACAAAAATTTCATCACAGCTTGAAAGAGCATCACAAAATTAGTAATATTCCAAAGTTTCATTACAAAATGTTGTAAAATGCGGATAATATAGCCTTGCGAAGTTTGCAATTTTCACTCATTTTAGATTACAAACGGAAAATTGACAGCCTCAAAGCGTATCGGGCTGTCAATTTCCCGTTTGTAATCTAAAATGAGTGAAAATTGCAAACTTCGCAAGGCTATATTATCCGCATTTTACAACATTTTGCAACGAAACTTTGGAATATTACTAATTTTGTGATGCTCTTTCAAGCTGTGATGAAATTTTTGTCTAGATCAAAATTTAGTCTATTACACAAATGGTCCATTGCGGTGCAGTGAAGGATATAATTATGCTTATATATTTTTTCAAGTAGTTCTATCTTCTTCAAACCACAGGTGTTTGTTATCGTCTCTATCTGACACTGGCACCAACCGAACAACACTCGACATGGACCCTCCAACTTTGTTGATGCAAAGCAAAAATCATTGTTGCGGTTTTAACGCGGAACTAAAGGCGAGACAAGATAGGAAATGTTTACCAAGAAATGTTTACAATTACACTCGTGAAAAACACCTTTTGAATTATTGCGGAACAAAATGGGTAAAATATTTGAAACAGTAGTTCCTGTTTTATTGTTCATCACACAAAAGATGCGGAATGAAAAAGTCTCATAGATTATATAGTTCAAATGTAACTAACCATTTCTACTAAATATATCGATCCTTTTTGTGCCAATCTGGCACTAAAGTTTGCTTTCGGCATTATTGTGTGTTTCTTCATTTATACTGATTATAATTGATTAATTACCATTGACATTGTGGAATTTGATTAAAAGTGAGGATCTACTAATTGTCCATTCTAAGATTGTATTGCAGCAGGGCCAACTATACCCATTATAGAGACGTGTTTTCCTCTTAGAAAGCTTTGGTATACAGAGATGCGTTAGCTCTCTTAGATATAAAAAAGCTTTCAAGGTTTGATAAGTGTTCCAACTATGTTTTAACTTAAACAGAATACATGATAGTGTTGGGAAAGCATTAAGAACAGCTAAAATGATCGCGTGACTGCTAACTCCCATTGCTCTCTCATCCGGGCTATATAAGTGTACCTTCCTTATAAAAACATCCCTGTCAACATGCTTCCGCAAGGATCAAATTTTCCATCTACCTAAAAGAACTGCGCTATTAATTGTTGCTTCTAAATACATGACTCATTCTCTCCAAATGAGTTTCGTAAAATCGGAAGCAAAGCATTCTCGCTGCGTCTCTTTGGTTGCAAGTTTAAATTTAGTGACAGGAAGTGGTGTGAGATGATTCATTCAGCTATCTCTGATCGTAACGAGATGAGGAAATAGAGAAGAACGTGATTATGTCTGCGGTTCAACCACAAATGTTTATGTCTCGCCCAAAATGAACTTGGAATTTGGCAAGCGATGAATATGCGGCACTTTGATTGCCTTATATAGCGAGCTGCATGAGTAAGGACCATTAGAACAACAATGAAACTCTAATAATGCTCTAATTAATATTGGATAACTCTATCAGTTCTAAATTGTTGTCCTCGGTGGTTCAATAAGTTCCATCCCTTACTAGTTCCGTTTTTACTACAATAGGTAATTTTATTTGTACTGGATAGCTTTAGCTGTTCTAAAGGCTGACTCAATGTTTACTTACAAATCCTTCAAAACTTAGAATTTAACTCTGCAAAATTCCTACTGTGATCACAGAAACTTTGATAGTGCATACCAGCCTTAAACGTCAAAGCAAGCGCCAAGAATCATAAGGTGGATGCCAGAGGCGCCCTGGGAAAGTCTACGACTTAATCAGGTCGAGTAATTCAACTTAGTTTTCAGCTGCAAATAAGGATGATATGAAGAACACCCCCACACTTCCTGGCTTACTTCCCAGAGGTCCAGTAAAGAACCTCTGCAATCTGCATATTGCACAAATCCAACTTAAGCCTGGTGTTGACACTATCAAAGTTTCTGTGATCACAGTAGGAATTTTGCATGGGTAAATTCTAAGTTTTGAATGATTTGTAAGAAATGTTTGAACGAACTGATTCAGTGTTAAACATCGAGTCAGTTCTCTCAAACACTTCTTACAAATCCTTCAAAACTTAGAACTTATCTAAGCAAAATTCCTACTGTGATCATAGAAACTTTGGTAGTGTAAAGCAGCCTTAACGTACTATCAATCGACCACCATTTACTGCAGATAGTGCGGATGAAACCCATTTAGAAGAGTATTCAATTTTCTTGTATCTTTTGAAAAGCCTTCATATAGAATATAAAGTAAACCAGCCTTTGTATAGATCGCAGTCTGCCTTGTACTCAGGCCCACGCCAAGCCATACAGCGCCTGGGCACGAAGTAGGGACGCACTGACGAAAGATGCGTGCACTGACCGAATGATCAGGATCCCGGGAATGCTTAGTATAGCCTATAGGGTCATTGAGACGCGCTTTGTGAGTGAGAAATATTCTATTTCAGATGACCTCTAGTCTTTTGCTTGAAATGCTGCGTTGCACATCTGTGCCGGGCTTAACATTGTCATTTCCGGATATCATAAAACTTTGCCTTTGGGGGATACGTGTGTGGAAATTAGAAGTAGTTAAACCCATTAGAATTGTTTACATGATTTTTATATTTTCTGTAATCCTAAAGATTGGATCTGAAATTTATCATATATTTCATAGAAATCATTCCTTACTGATATATTAGACTGGTTCCTTCATTTGAACTGAGAGTCTGAGACTATTATACTATTAAGAATACCGTTTTGATATAAAAATGAAAATATTGTATAATTTAAATATTACGTCTATGTATAGTACTGTAAATAGTTCAAAATCATTTGCATTCTCGTTCAGTTCAGAAGTTCATGAACTGGTCTCATGTTAGCGCATTCTGCGGATCACATGCCTTCGTTTGCTTGAACGAAACTGCATCAAAACAATTCTCGCGCACAAAACATTAATTAATCAGTAGGTGTCTCGAGATTGATGACAAACAAGCCGGGCGATAAAACAAATGTTTTTCCTCTCGTAAAAACAAACTACAAGCATGTTGAATTATGCATCAGGAACTGTTTACTGCACACAAGCTATCATGCGGTGGCACTCGAACTCTGCAAAGTATCAAGGCCACCAGGGCATAAACAACACGACCACCAAAAGTATCAGCTAGCAATTTTTACTGCGATTTTCGGTGCGACTCTCGACCCTTGTGATAGATGAGGTCATGTGGATGAATTATGAATGTTTGAGGTGAGGATAAATATACTCAGAACAATCATAACTCATGCATCTCGTTCGGTTTACATTCTTCAGAAAAAGAAACCTAAAATCGCGGCAAAAATTGCAAGGCAGATTTGTTGGACTTCGGACTTGGAGTGCTTGCAACGCAATATAAACTAACTTTATTTGTACTGGATAGTTTTATTAGTTCCCTAGAGGTCGAGTAAGAACCATTCCTAATAGTTATCCAGTGTTGCTAAACTATTTAAACCTAAGAAAACTAAATTAACTTTATCCATACTAGATAGCTCACAACTGTTCTCCCCATATGGAGTATGCCTGTACGGGAGTCATGTCCTGAAGTCCAGCAAGGACCACCCTTTTGTGATCCGATGTAATGTTACTTCCCAACCAAAAAAGCTGGTGTTTGGTTGTATGTATTAGGGTCAAACTGTGAGCGCAACTGAAAGTCTGAAACTAAATTATTTTATCAGACTATTCCGCATTCCATGCTGCTTATAGGAACTGATCACCAATCACAGATGTAAGAATCACTTGCACAGTTGCACTTACCTCTTTCGTTGAAAATCACTGCGTTTCACACGCGCAAATGTTTTACAATTAACACTTTTAAGCTATTTCATTCAGGCCTATTTACGTGACCGTACTGCAAGAGTCTATGTTATATTCCAGCAAAATATTTGCTTTACTAAGCAAATTGTAAGCAAGTTGTAAATTCAGCCCTCCGGGCAGTTTAAATTCTGTTGTGTTCCTGGCAATTGTCCCTTTTCTTTTTCGCTGTTTCTAAATCAGCTCTGTTTTAGCTATGCTGTGTTTTAGTCTGAAGACCCGGAAACAACATGAATCCCACATCTCGTGTTTGAAAGACACAAACAGGAAAAACAGTGCAAATAAATTGGTTTAAGTTGTGTGTTTTGCTTGATAAATTAACTCCATACATATCTCTTGCTGGGCTGGCCTGCCAGTGGCATATAATGAGTTTGAAAATGACCCTGTGTGGGCGGTGAAGTCTGTTCAAACACCAAAACAAAATCACGAATGTATAATTTGTACAAAAATCGAAACTACGGTAAATTTTTCCCAAATATAGTAGCTCGCAAAGATAGCATACAAGGAAAAAAACTTTGAATTAGTGCATTCTGTTACAATGCATATAGTTCCGCAAAGCGTTTAGTGACACCCATAATAATAATTATATACAATGGAATGTGTTTCTGTTTATAGCCTTACAGGCCTTATACGCGAAATATTATCTGCACTGCCGTATTGTACTGGTCCACGTACAGTTATATTTTCGCACGAAATTCGGTTCGTCTTTGCTTTGAAATAAAGTTTGCTTGCTCAGACGCAATATATGCGAGAGCGATGCATTTACGCAAGATGCTATTATTTTCATGTTTCAGCATTCACGAAACAATTGTCTCCAAACAGCGCATTTATTTTTAAGATTCTTATACGATTGGATATAATAACTATAATATTTCAACAATATTTCAATAAGAATTCACATACCTTTTATTCTGTTGCTAAATGCAGCGTTCTACCACTGTGCTAGATTTTCGTTGCTGAGATAAATACGACTCCAAGAATTCCGACTTAATGATTTAACGAGCGATCAAATGGTCTCTATATATAAAGGGCGGCTTCAGTCGTACTTCCTGTTCTGCAGCAAAGGATAAGCTTACAGCTCTTAACACCACCGTAATTCTTTAATCACTAGGAATGCCTTGTATTAAACACACCTTTGATGAAAAGCTCAACGATCCCAGCCTTCAATTTACCTTGCGCTTTTCTGCAGTTATTTCACAGTGCGAGCGCTTGTGTGCGTCTGATCTTCCAAGCTAGATCTCAATATCTGGAAAACATTGAACAATATGTCATATTTTTCAATTGCATGACGGATTCAGAACCGACTGCTCGCCACAATAAACAGAGTTGTTTCCGGTTTAGACAGCCAAGCCTCTCGCTTCCTATTTTTCAAATTTTGTGAAAATTTGCATACTGCAACATTATTGGTCGCTCGCGAATGTTTTTTGCAGATAAACCTTAACCCCCACGCTTGCATATTCGTTAATTTACGGCCATTTTCAGCCGGATTTTTAGATTGCGAATAATTTTTTTCAAAAATTGACCCGATGCCCTTGACTTTTAATCATATTTCATCGCATTTGATCGGATTTTTGTTGAGATCTAAGAGGTTAAAGTTTACGTTTTGTTACGGCTGACGTGTGTTGGATTTCTTCCTGGTTCTAGACGCTTCTGTCGCTATGATATTATAAACAGTCATAAACTTGTTTTCGAGTTAACATTTTTGGGCGCAAATTCTGGACATTTCGCTCGTTTTTTCAACCCATGGAACGTGTAAGAGGTATTTGGCATTCCATCTTGTTGTTTTGAAAGGCGAGTAGAGAATTAAATTCGAAAAAACGGGTTGGCGTTTCAAGCGTTGTTTTGCGAACGCTATTGTCGCGTATGACGTGTTCTGTGTATGTAGAGGAAATAATTATTAGATAAGGTCGCGATAATTTTACATCAGTTGTTTACTTCAATGAGGAACTCCGGTCGCTACTTCCGAAAAACAATGTTGTTTTTATATTTTATTTAAATTTTAACACGTTATCGCCAATTGGGCATTTCACATCTAGATTTGTTTATCAGCGATTTTCTATGTCGAGTATATTGTTTTGGAAAACATAAAATCTGTATGACAGACCCAGTTCAGATCTTCAAAATGGGGCGTATTATAGTAGCACTCTTCCTTCGACGTCCAGTTCCGTCACATGTGAGAAGATTGCTTTCGGTGTGGACTCAAGCAAACACCGCAGATTTCTTCTGGAAGATCGGTTTCCTCCTGTAGTAACACCGGGTCGATACGGGAGTACGTTTGTGGACCTCCTGGAAGTTCAGAACTGGTAGAGCTATCCAGTATAAAGTTTCCAACACTGATGAAGAAGGAACTGAGTCTTACTGTACTCCAGAACTGATAAAGATATATATCCGTTAATTGTAAACAACACTATAGTTGATATCGAGTGTGGGTGTACATGTTGATTTCAGAATCATCTTCAGAAAATCTGAAGGATTTATCTGAAATTAAATCACTGCACTTCTTCCGAGAGAACCGTTAACGCCCGTGAAGTTGTACTACACAACAATTACCTCGCTACCACCTTATTGTGAAACTCTTGAATGTGGGGTTCCATTGTTTGTAGCTGGAAAGATGCAGATTTATAGGGATGTAGCTGCCTGAAAAATGCAAGGAAATTTTGAACTTTCGAGTGAAGGCCCTTCGGGTTCAGGAAGTCCCGACGGGGAAGGTGTCTTCGCTCGAAACGTCGAAGTTCTCCTTGTATTTTTCAGGTAGTTGTATCCCTATCAATGCGAAGCTTTCTTATTATTGCCACGACCTACACTGGCACAGACTTTGCATTGCAGATGACAATGTACAATATATCTAAAAGTTACAGTCGTTACATGAAGAGACTACTTGAGAACAGTCGTTTCAAGCGAAGGACCTACTCACTTCCGGACGAAGGGTCGGTCTCGCCGCTTGATTTGTTTTCGGCCAGTTTCATTCTGTAGTTCCTGAAGACTTTGTAAAACTAACAGTGGTGCTGTACGTTTGGCTGTTTCTAGTCTGTAGGCTCATTTCATGGTGATATATAACAATAAATTTAAGTTTAGGAAACGTCTTATTATCTTTGCGATATTTGCAATGTTTTGTTACGTAAACTTACAAATCTCCGTCATCAGCGAAACTGGAACAAATCCGGGATTAAAATTTAAAGTCATTAAAGGCTGTGGATTGCCAAGCATGGCATTCTTCAGTGTTTTTCAGCTAGCTGAATCTCCCCTCAATCCTTTATTAGGGCATAAGAAGAACTCAGTACTCAAATTTCCACACTTGTAGACGAATTCCGGCGATTTATCGTGTGAACAAGTACAGGCGCGCGAATTTCATTATGCCGCCTGATGCACAATTGATTAAAATTTGTCTTGGGGGTAAGTAACGCAACTTCTTGTTCATTATTTTGGCATGGTCTGCCTCGAGGTCTGCCTGGTTTTGTCTGAACTACCTCAAGTAACCTTCTGGCTCGGAATGTCCAAGTGTTTTGAATTTTTTCAGGTATTTCACACACAAGCAAGGACAGCTTATTGTAGAATACTGCCTATACACTGCCACTGGACCTCCACGTTCGGGAAATATATATTTTCAGGTAGTTCAAACACAAACCACGACAGCTTATCATAAAGTACATTACAATGTTTGTCTGTTTGCAATAGTAATCCGTTGTTTCGCTACAGTACAAGCAGTTGGGACTGGGCAACTAAAAATGCTCGACTTCACCTCAGCTTGTTAATGTTATTGCCTCGACTAGCAAATTGTCAGCCTAGCAGTCGGGAGGTTAACAAGGGTTCAAGTCTGGTGTGAAAATCAGGAATTTTTCCCATGTCTTAACAGTTTGTACAAACAAAACAAAATCGTGATAATTGGCATCAAACGCGATCATTCGCAGTGACCTTGTGCACGTTATGAGTTGCTCATTGTCATTGAAATGGCCGACATTGCAAGGAACTACACACAATACGAGTCCAGACTTTTGACGCCACGTTTGTGAACGAGAGCAAACAGAGAATGCCCAATTTTGGTTCGTGCAAACATTGGCCATTCAGAGACAATACAAACATTCAGTTCAAGCTGAAACTGAGTAGACAAAATAGCTACAGCCTACAAGCCTACAAACTCCCTCGACAGAAGCTTCAGACTGAATCAGACATGTTTCTATGTTTGTTACGAGACGCGGGTCCACTGTATGGTAAAAAATGTGAAATCCATACTATGAAATTTGCAATTGCACCACTAAATCCACAGTATATCCATACTATTTCGATACTATATCCATAGTATGGAAAGGTCCATACAATTTCCATTCTATGACCTTCTATGGATTTTCAAAATTTTTCCCAGTGGTCCTAGCTCCTGCAGTTACTTCACTCGATACTAACATGTTTGTTCAGTTTTATTAGTTTGCATGACTATTTTACCTTCATTTTTACAACATTCACGCCTTGACACACTTCACATCAAAAGTTAATCATTCATTGTAATATGCATACAGCATACCTACAAAGACAATGTACACCAGGTATTTGTTCTACTGTTCAACAGTTTGTTGATCATTTTCTTCAGTGCGTGGAAATTTTCCTGTTGTCATTTTGCTCATCTGGTTTCACAGACCCACAGATACTGTTGTAATCCAGTTAATTAAAAGGCCAATTGTACTATACCACATTTTACATCCATAATCCATTTAGGAGTTAGCCCACCACGATAATAAGCCGAGGCCAGGTTCGGTAATGGTTGCCTACATGATGAAGAAGATATACGTCCAGTGTTGGTAGTATTCCACAACAAGTTGAACTAATTGAAAAAGATAAATTCTAACACTTCCAGTGAAAGAACTGAAAGAAATTCGTTACGAAGTCCCGCGAAATTTAATCTTCAGGTAGTTCAGACACAATTATATACTTGGGTAACACAAAACAAGCTTTTCTTTAAAGGTCTTTAAAATTGTTGACATATTTGTTTTCCCAATCTCCCTTGCCCTCCTTTGGTTTACCTAAGCTGACCAAATGTAAACTCTTATCCATTTATCAGACCGGAACCTCACGGACGATGTCTGAGCCACCTCCGATTTTTTCCTGACTTAAGAAAGATTAACTATGGTATTTGTAGCGAACTAACATCATCAATATTGAAAGCTTTTCTCCTGTTATCAGTTTAAGCTGTGGCTCGGAATATCGAAGCATTTTAATATTTTTCAGGTAGTTCAGACATAAACGACGGCAATCTTATTTTGGAATACTACCTACACAGGACCACCACGTTTGAGATATCTTCTTCAGGTAGTTGAGACACAAACCATGACAGCTTATTGTAGACTACCTACACTGGACCACTACGTTTGAATTGAGACATCTTTTTCAGGTAGTTCAGACACAAACCATGACAGCTTATTGTAGAATACTACCTACACTGGACCTCCACGTTTGAGATATCTTCTTCAGGTAGTTCAGACACAAACCATGACAGCTTATTGTAGAATACTACCTACACTGGACCCCCACGTTTGAGATATCTTCTTCAGGTAGTTCAGACACAAACCACGGCAGCTTATTGTAGAATACTGCCTACACTGGACCACCACGTTTGAGATATCTTCTTCAGGTAGTTCAGACACAAACCACGGCAGCTTATTGTAGAATACTGCCTACACTAGGCCACCACCTTCAAATTCCTTCTGCATTACTCACCGTAACACTATAAGGCGATTTTTCTTCTTGATTTCCTGGTTGATCCTGGGAGGCCTTCTCTGGACCAGTTGGAGTTAGATCCGTGAAACTTTCATCAATTACACGGAAACGTATTTCCTCGTTGATATCCATAAATAGATCATGCGTTCCTTCGTCTGTTTCATATTCCCAAACCCACAGCTGTTCTTCTTCATCGCTTGGGCTAGTTAAGGAAACTTTCAGAAACCAAAGTTCAAAACGATATACTTAGTTTTTGTCTCAGAGAACGTTGGTATATATGTCATTTTGTTACCCTGCCATACAGTGTAATCTGAGGTACGATTCTGACAAAAAATAAGAAGTTCATGCAAGGAATCTAGACAAGATTTTCTACCTTTAATTATATGTATAGATTTGGTAAGATTAAAAATAAACTGTCAATTTCCACTATGTAATTTTTTATTTCTAAACTGTTCTTCCTAGAGGTCTAGTAAGAGTTCTTATTGATCCAATGTTACTACAGGAGGAAACCTAAACTAAACTAACTGTATTTATACTGGATAGTTCTATCAGTTCTAAACTGTTCTTTCTAGAGGTCCAGTAAGGATCATCTCTTATTGATCCACTGTTAACACGTACAGGGGGAAACCTAAACTAACCGTTTATACTGGGTAGCTCAATCAGTTCTGAATTTTTCTCCTTAGAGGTCCAGTAATGATCATTTCTTATTGATCCAGTGGTACTACAGAAAGAAACCTAAACTATATTTATACTGAAATTAGCTCAATCCGTTGCAAACTGTTATCAGACCAGTTATACCTCTTTAGCGGTAAAGTAAGCGTAGTCATCCTTTAAACTGGAGAGGTTAACCTGCAGTGTTTCGCTGAGTCAAACTGGAAGTATAGTCATCCCCATCTAATTGAGATGAAATAGAGAGTGGTAGTGAAGCAGTTCTTGACGAAATTGGGGGGGGATTACCTATAACTAAGGTCTTAAAAGACTACCATTAGCAATGGATCAGACATTTATCATTAAAAAAAAATTAAGGATACAATTTTGAAGGTTGTTGTAAGTATGGATAAGGTATTAGTATATCATCAAAGAATTCCATTGACACTACAAGGATAAATTTGTTTTAATAAAAAATAGTGGGAAAAGTGGCAAAATAGAGGAGACACAGGTAAAGAAGCTATATCTCCTAATCTTTCCAAAACTTCTCTTTTTAGAGAGTAGAGACTCGTTTTTGAACCAAATTGTTTTTCTTTGGAACAGTCTTCATGCTCATATCACCGAAATGCATAACGCCAAATGATTTTACTCATCAGGGGAAGAGTGCTACCATGCACTCAATGGGTTAACATGTCTTGTTGACATGTGTGTATTCTTAAATTTAGTATCTAGTAAAAGGTTGTAAAGTTAATAAATAAAAAATAAGCTCAAGACATGTACCTGTGACTCCTTCATGACTACATGCTTTCACCCTTCCCAGTAAGATCTCATCAATGAATGGACGAAACACAACAAATCTAAATTTGACTTGAAAATATATGATAATTACAAACAAACACCTGTTTAGGAGTTGTCCACATTTTGTACAAGTGATGGTGATGATGATGGTGGTGATAGTGACAATGATGGTGTATGATAGTGGTGGTGATTTGGTGTGATGGTGATTATTGATGATGATGGTTATGATAATGAGGTGGTGGTGATTTGGTGTGATGGTGGTGATGATGATGGTGGTGATGATGATAGTGGTTGATGATGGTTGATGTTGATGATGGTTGATGATGATGGTTGATGATGGAAATTGATGATGATGGTTGATGATGGTTGATGATGATGATGGTTGATGATGATGGTTGATGATGGAAATTGATGATGATGGTTGATGATGGTTGATGTTGATGATGGTTGATGATGATGGTTGATGGTGGAAATTGATGATGATGGTTGATGATGGTGATTTGGTGTGATGGTGGTGGTGATAATAGAGATAGATAGTTTTATTAAATGATAGTTACATTGCAGGTACTACTGAATTGCGTAACTTTACAATTATATAAAAGTCGTTCAATATAGATATAATAATACATAAGAATACTAAAATTTATCTTAATTTACGATTATGTACAGTTAAACTACTAACTTTATACAAGTATTGAAATCACCATTTCACTATATGTCATCATAAAGCTTACTACTATGCATTATGAATGACTGAGCATAGCGTTTGGTCTTTGCAGTTGGAATATTAAAAGTTCTACGTTTCCTAAAATAATATTTGGCATTGTTATTTCTCTGCGGTAGTAGAGCATGCAGTTTGTTTTTAGAGTCACTTACAATTGACCTAAAGAGTGATTTAGATAAAGATTCGTGGTGATCATGTATAGATGCTAGGCCAGCGAGCGATAGGGCATCTTCGTAACGCCTTCCTGGGTAAATGCAGGCTAGTGCTCTTTTCTGGATCCTCTCCAGATCTTCTTGGAGATATTTTGGAAGTGAGTAGTGGAATACAGGGCATGCGTAATCGATTGCAGAACGGATACATGCACAGTAATAGGCGACTATTTCTCTTGCTGGGACTTTCGCTCTCTTAAGCTGCACAAGAAAATACTGCTTGCGAGATGCTTTCTTTACTATTTCCTCGATATGATCATTCCACGTAAGGGTGCTGTTAATCGTTACGCCGAGTAGCTTTACCTTGCTCACTGGGATAATGGTGGACCCCTCAACATTGACTGGAGATGGCAAATTCCGAGACCGACTGAAGGTAATAGGTAGCTCTTTACATTTCCTGCAGTTAAGTTGAAGCATGTTCCTTTTTGACCATTCAGATACCTGATCGACAGCCGATTGTGCGTCACTTAAGTCTTTATTTTTGGCTATTACTTCAGATACAGTCGTGTCGTCAACGTATTTCCACATATCAAAGGGGTCTCCAGAAATTGAAAGATCGTTAATCATTATCAGAAACAGCCAGGGGCCCAACTTCGTTCCTTGAGGAACTCCTGCAGGTACGGCTCCCCACTCTGAGAAACCGTCCCGTTCCAGTTTAACCCTCTGAGATCGTCCCGATAGAAAACTCGTGATCCAATTGATGACGCTGTTGGGAATGTCCAATTGACGAAGTTTCTCAATAAGGGTAGAGTGGTCTATCAAATCGAAAGCTTTCCGATAATCGAATAACAAAACTCTAATTGTTGAGCCAGTGCCGTCAGACTCTTTTAGCCACTTGTGGACCATGCTAATTAGGGCCATAACCGTTGAAGAACCTGGGATTGTTCCAAATTGATTGGGATCGATTATTTTGGTCACAGCAGGTTTAATGTAATCAGCTACAATGAATTCCTCGGCCACTTTTGATAGAGAACAGGTTAAGGAAATTGGTCTAAGTTCCGATTGGGGGTTCGTGACACGTTTGACTTTGGGAAGCGGGCATACGTCAGCCAATTTCCAAACCCTTGGAAGACTTTGGTCCTTAAAAGATGAATTCAAAATATTAGCAACTGGTTCCGCCAAAATCTCCGCATACTCCTTGAACAACCAGTTAGATAGTCCATCAGGGCCAGGAGCTTTATACTTGTTTAACCGTGATAGGTGGGTGTAAACGCGTTCGACCGACACCTCTGGTATCACATCTAGTTCTTCCCCTGGCAAGTTGACAGTACTAGGATCGAGGGGGTTGTACTCCTGCAGAGGTTCAAGAAGGGAGGCATTAATAGCATCGGCTATTTCCTTGTGGGACAAATTATCATATCCAGGGACATTAAGACTGCTCATCAATTTGATGCTATTTACGGATCCACTTATTTTTTTAACTTCTTTCCACCACTGACGGGGATTGGCCCCTTTCAAATCTTGGACTTTTGAGGCATAATATTTAGCTTTGCACAATTTCCTTTCTCTGTTGACGGCGTTGCGGTAAAACTTGAATTGAATGCTATTCTTGTTAGAGTAGAAGGCTACTTGTCTCATACGTATTAGATCTTTTAGCTTAGTGGACATCCATGGGGCATCATTGGTGTGGACTTTGATCACTTTCTCTGGCATGATATGATTCAGACCAATTTTTATTAGGTCAGTTAACGTATCTAACTTTCCAGTACAGTTGTCTTTACTATTAATAGTTGACGCCCAGTCTATGCTACTTAAATATCGCCCAAGTGCGGCCTTGTTGCTTGCTCTCGTATCTCTAACTGTAACGAATTTTCTTGAAGACTGGCCTATTTCTCTTTCCTTTGGTCTCACGAGAACAGTGTTATGGTCTGATAGGTCGAAGGGTGGGTATATCTCGGCTGGTGAAAAGAACTCGGCCATATTCGTTAGAATTTTATCAAGTGTCACTTGTCCCCTTGTAGGCAGCTTAACCAGTTGTTTGAGTTTGAAATGACGTTTGATGTTAGCGACATTCAGACGATTGAAGTCTCCTGCTATAACAATACTGCAATTGGGATATAAGGATTCGGCCAGTGTTAAATTTTGGAATAGATGATTAATAATTGAATGGCAGTCTGAACCAGGTGGATGGTAAATGACAGCGATGATAAGGCAGGTAAACCCTCGGGGGAGACGCGTAGGGTTGAGCTTAATCCACAACATTTCATGATCGTTACAGCATTGTAAATTTTCAAGGATTTCATATTTCATCTGTTCTCGGGCATAAATACAAACTCCGCCGTGTTCTCGAACAATACGGTCTTTCCGAAATATGTTATAGCTGGAAATATTAATAACACTGTCATTAAGATTTGGTGATGGTGGTGATGACAGTGATGGTAATTTGGTGTGATGGTAATGATGATGGTGATGGTGGTGGTGATGATGATGGTGGTTGTGGTGGTGGTGATGATGGTTGTGCCAGATATGATGGTGATGACTGGAGTTGTGAAATGGCCTCATGTATCAGAGTTATAAAAAGGTGTGCATCTAGTTACCAGGTGTACATGATGCCCCATCACTGGGCAAAATGAACGAGTCCCCAATTTCTAAAATATCGTGTAACACAATACAAAGTCCCACATTGTATACAACCTAAATGAATATATGAAAAATATCAATAGCTTAGCCAACAAAGGTGTTTCACACCATCTACAATTATGGGTTCCTCACAAAGTATTACATTATAAGAATGTGGTAACTGGCAGTTGCGATCACAGTGAGAAAATGTTTATACCCATTCAATAATTACATCACACATACTTTTTGGTCTTGGAATCTCGCTCTCATGAGTAAATTATGCAAGGTGATTGGCTCACGATTCATGAGAGCGAGGCTCCCAGGCCAAATAACGTAATTAGCGAAAGGGTGTATTCTTTCCATTATATGATAGTCTTGTATATTGGTAATGCTTCCATCATATCTGTACTCTGTGATCAGATACAAGTCATACGGTGTAGGCCAGAGGCACCTTTAGTATGCATTCAATCGATCTGATTGAGCTGCATTTGTCATTATTCTCAGCTGAATTCTGACCACCATAATTATGCTGCCCTATATAATGCTAACTATATAATATTACAAGCAGAATTGAATTTGTACTTTATTTGCCAATTTTGTATTCAGTTCATTTGTTATAGCTTCCTGCAGATTCACACCAAATTTTGTTGGTGGCAGTCGAATCGTATCCTTCATTTCAGCCAGCACAAACATCGCATTGATCAAAAACGAAAAACTAAATAAAATATAGAAAAATAAAAAAAAATTCAAAAAGAAGTAGAATGGGATTATTACATTTATCCTTAAAATGAGGAATATCGCAAGTACTATTAAGGATTGTTTAGGAAAACTAAGGAATTTCAGACTTCTTGGCAAGGAATCCTGGAAAATGGCGTCTTTCAATAAGAGTGAATTTTACGTGTTCTGTGAATAACTTTAATTTTTATCGTTTCTATTGAAAGATATGGATCAGTGGAATCAAAGTAAGTTTAAAACATCTCTGTGTACAATTTTACAGCTATTTTTTTCCTTTTTTATTGTTGAAAAGTAAAAAAAACAACATTTAAAAACCTTATGCATGTGATATAATTTGTAAATATGAAAGTCTGGGGGGGGGAGGCCGCATTATTATTAAGTGTTATTTTCTGTTGGCTGAGGAATAAAGGAGGCAGAAAATTTTCTCTCACACACTGCTGGGGGACTGGGTCAAGGGTGTGGTCCAGGTTGTCAGAGTCACTTTTGCTTACCGACCCTAATGGCCGGAAGTGCCTAAGATATAATGTAGTTGCAATAGTGCTTAACTATAATTGGTCTAACATGCTATAATTAGTTGAGATGCAGTAATACACCATTTTGATAATGATAATTACATAATTTGGCCTGGGAGCCTTACTGTCATGAATCGTGAACCTTACTGTCTAGCCTGCGAACAGGCTCACTGGGAGAAAGGTGAGCCTGCACAGAACATGCGTTTTATTCAATCATCCCCTTTTCGCATCTGCTAAACGCGAACCAATCAGCGTCGACTGCGATAAATAAACTGTCAACTGTCAAATTGACGCAAGGCGTGTACATTATTGTACACGCCTTGAATATTAAAATGTATACATGATGTTATGTGAACAATAATACAAAGCATTAGCAGGCCACACAATATATTACTCGGAAAAATATAGAATTCTTCAAATATTAAATAGATATCAACACACATACAAATATAAAGCCGAATAAAATACTACCATTGGCATTGAATGTACAGTAATACTTGTACTATGTGCGACTGAAAGAACAATGTTCTGAATATTTGAAGCTATTACTAAAATACGGTCAGATAGATTGGGGTTTGGAATACCAAATACATCTAAAATTTTACTAACTGTGGTCTAAATAAATGATAAATGAGCATGTATTTATTAATTTCTTCGAAATCACGAGTGTGCCAATAGTGGAAGCCGTATCGACGACAAAATTGTCAGCAGTTTATACAGTTAATAGTACAACGTTTAATGTACGATATATATTTATCTAAATGACATGCCAGCGAGGATCAACAATATAATTATTCGTACATATTTGGGTATCTTTTGTATGCCTTCGCTTGCTGACTTGCTCACTAATGAGAATAATCCGTGAAGCCACGACGACCTCAAAATGTAGTACTATAGTCTGATGTCAATCAGAAGACGAAGTTCAGAATACTGTTATAGTGTTGAATTTAAGCGATAGATTCAAGTAATTTATGATATACTTTTTTGCTGTGATGCTTTGCTATTGCTTTTGGTTTCCATTTCTAGTGTTATTTGTTCGATAGTCTTATAATATATAATATTAAAATGAATAAAGTTCAAATTCTTCAAAATGCTGTTGTTGACATTTGCTATTTTTAGTAATTTTGTCAACGAGTGTAAGCCAATCAGAAGCCTGCGTTTCTATACGAACGCCACTACCAAGAAAACCTATAGTTCCGTGCAGGCCCTCTATTCTTCGCGCCGCCCGCAACCCAGGGCCTGTTCGCAGGCTACTTACTGTCATGAATCGTGAACCAATCACCATGCGTTATTTACTAATGAGAGCAAGGCTCCAAGACCAAAAAGTATGTGTGATGTAATTATCGAAAGGGTGTATTTGTTTGAATTTTTAAGATTAAAAATATGTTTTCATATTTTGATTAGGAATGATGTTTCCTGGTATGCCAGCAGGAATTCCGCAAAATGCCAACAATCAACAGGTGAGTAGATTATTTTGAAATGGTTTCTGTTTTAATTTATATACCATTAACCCATTAGATTGCATTGAACCCCAATGTGCCTTACTTTATTTTACTCGTCAAGGGGAGAGCTCTGCTGCTCAATGGGTTTTTATAACTATAAATGCATGTTAGATTAGGTAAGATAATAATAAAAAGGTTAAACTTGAACAATCGTGCCAGCATCAGCAGTGATAAATAACACCCGACGTTTTGAGCGATGGCCCTTCGCCCACAAATCCCTACATTGTGAGCCTAAAGTATTTTCAAAAAGTGTTAATTAAAGTACGGTTTACATTGTATTTTCTAGAACTTTTACAGACCTACAAATCCTCAACAGTTTTATCCCACAGCTGCTGGTGTTCAATTTCATGGCGGCGGCTTTCAAACAAGGCCACCATTTCCACAAAACATGACCCCCATGGCTCAAAATTTCCCACCACCACCACAACCCCATCCTACGAGACCCATGAACCCCGCCGAACTTGAAAGCTTAAAGAAAAAACGAAATTTTGAGGAACAGCAGAAAAGGTTGATGGCTTTAAAGCAAAAGGGAGGGGGAGTGTCGATGAACGATCTGTTTGGGAAGAAAGGAAACTCAGGCGGGATGGCATCTTTATTGGGGTCATTCAGTGATGTATCAAGATCAAAAGGCACCAATTCTTATCAAGGTAGGAAGTTCTTGCCTGCACAAACATCGCATTGGTTAAAAATGAAAAACTAAATAAAATATAGAAAAATAAAAAAATTTTCAAAAAGAAGTAGGATATTCAAGGCATCTCGTTGATTTTATATGAAGTACTCCAACAGTACAAGCTCTCATTTTTATACACACATCTTATACACGGCAAAAAATGCTCAGGTTGATGCAATACTGATGAAAACAGGATTGAACAATGTTTTGCTGCCCACATTGTTCATTGCTGTCAACAATATTGAACAATATTGTTACACCCGATTCAGGCTCAACAACATTGTTCAATATTGTTGACAGCTATGAACAATGTGGGCGGCAAAACATTGTTCAGTCCTGTTGAGCAACGGTCTCGGCGTTTTTTGCCGTGTAGGAAGTTGTTAGTTAGGTGCAAAATGATCTCAGGGGAGGTGCACACCTCCCCTCAAAATCCGGCCATGCCCAATTCACAACATTGGATAACTGACATGCCTAGTTACTATTGTTCAAGTTTACAGAAGCATAGAATAAAACAAAGGTAACATAAGCTTTAGAATTATCTACATGAGGGAATAATCCCTAATGCTTCTGCAAACTACAGTAAAACAGTCTAGGCATGTTACCTAAAATTCCGAATTGAGTATCGACAATATAACTGATGTTAGCTATAATTTGTCTATGGTTGTGATGAAGATGTCATTATGATGATGATGATGATGATGATGAACATGATGGTGATAGTCTACATTACTATATGATTATATACAGGGATGGATTTACTGGGGTGTGTGTGCACCCCCTAACCCTGGCCAGAGGGGGTGCTATTTTTCATGATAAAGCAAAAAAATTATTAGAGACAAAATGAGATACTGACAGTAATTTGAGTAATAACATGATGATAAGAGAACTGTGAACAACAATTCAAATACAGTAGTCAAGCAAGACTTTGCAGTAGTGAAGCAAGCTGATGGGCGGGCGGCACACATGACTGACACAACCCGGCACCACAGCCAGCAGATCACCCCCCCCCCCCTACCAGATCATGCTGGATCCATCCCTGATTATATAATAGTTTTGTTTGTGGAAACACCTGCATGTAAATTTATTACTGCAAATAATAAATTAATAATATTAATAATAATAATATTACTGCAGTAATAAATTTACGTGGTATTTCCACAAACAAAACTATTATGTGTTTTATCGCCATGCAAACTTACAAAGAACTTATTACTGTATGATTATTTTTCACAGGACCACAAGGTTCAAGCAATCTTTCTGGCCAAACACCACCTAGCTACAATGTTAACTCTGGTAGCAACATTCCAGTTCCTGCAGTAAGCAACTTTGCTTCATCGAACTGGAACATGCCTGGGTTACCTAACAATAATCCTACTGCTGGACAATCTTCAGGAGATTTTGAACAGTTCCAAGGATTTAGTTCAAAAACGATGCAAGATGATTTTGGTGATTTTCAACAAAGTTCGAGGATGCAATTTCCTGCGATGCCCAGTACAAGACAATCTGAAGTCCTGAGAAGTAATCAGGCGGATGTGTTTAGTGTTGCATCTCATGGTGACCAAACTAGACAGCAGGCTGTTGGTCATGTACCAGTTACTAGCAGTGTGCAGCAACCTGATGCGGGTGATTTTCATCAAAGCTTGAGTACGCAATTTCCAGCAGTGCCCAGTACACAACAATCTGAAGTTACTAGCAGTATAAACGGTATGTGTAAATATACATAGGCAGGGTGTTAGCCAGAAGTAAAAAAAAATCTGTGTTTACCTGAAATTGGGAAATTTATTTTAGCCTGAAGCCGGGCATTTCTTTGTGGGTCTGGGGGCATGTGGTTGCCCTCTCGATTTTTAAAATTTTTGTGTCTTTGAAAAATGGCATTTCCCGCATTTTGGGAGTAATTTTGAGCAAATGTAGTTATAAACATGTTTTTAATGGCGTGCTAACAACATTGAATTTCTATAACTATTTTTTTGCTGACCCAAATGGGAAAATTGCGACCGCAAGGTAATTGGGAAAACCGTGTTTAATGCGGAATTTTTGACTGTAGCTAACACCCTGATAGGTCTTTCATATGAGCACTATGTACAAGTGTATAAATATACACTTGTATGTAGTACTCATATGAAAGACCTAAATACTGGACAGCTGTAATCAATGAAGTTAATTTTCAAATTATTTGAAAGATGATTTCTTTCTTCTTTTAGCCCCAGTAACACCAAGTATTGAAGACTTAATGAAGAAATCCCTCACACTGGACAATCAATCTCCAAGCTCTGGCAAGAGATTCGAGAAACCCAAAATAACAAAAACAATCAAAGCCCAGCCGAGTCACTTTGCCGAGTCAGTAAAAGCTAGTAAATTTGAAAACATAGACTCACTCTCAGAAATGTTCACTATCCCGCAAGCTGCTTTAGCACAACCTGTGGAGCGCAGTGTACCAATAAGCCATGTGACTGCGAACAGCAGCGATGATTGGTCAGATTTTAGTAGTGCTACAGAAACTGTTTTTCAAGAGCAGAATCCATCAACAGGACATGCCCCTCCAAGTCCAGGACAGAGGCTTTCTTTTTCATCCATTCAGAATCCGTCATCAGGACAAAGAGACCCAATGTCCAGTCTAGGGCTTCCAACTTCAGAATCAACAACATTCAATTGGGAATCCGGGAATGAGGGTCATTTTAATACATTGCAAGAGCCTAGGGGTGAAATGGGTACTATATTTTCACAATCTGTTAGTAAAGCACAGACTGGAACTATGTGGATACCCCATGTTCCAAGTGGACCAGATGGGATGTTGGTTGGTGTGAATACACCTGTGTCACAGGGGAACTCTGGACAAGGGATTCTCAGCAGAAGTGACTTTGGGGATTTTCAATCTGACGTTCCAAGGAATGATGCCTTGTCTGCAGCTGTCCAAGTTCAAGGTTGGGAACATTTAGTCACATGTGAGAACAGTGCTATTAGTTTGACTCTACCAAGCACTGCAAGTTTACTTCTAGTTGGTACTCCAGTTAAGTTTCCTCCTTTTGTAACACAGAACCAATAAGGCCCATATGGGTATTACTGTGCCTTTAGTATAAAGTTAGTTTAGAGTACAGTAGGTTTCCTCCTGTAATTATGCTGGATCAATAAGGCAATAAGTTGTTTGGCATTTACTGGACCTCTGGGGAGAACAGTTTACTGTACATGTACAAGTGATAAAGCTATCCAAATTAATATAAATAAAATTAGATTATTTAACCCATTAAGCTGCAGAGCTTCCCCAGTGACAAGTAAAATCGTATGGCGTTAGACAAGTAAAAGAAATAAGTAAGGCGCACTGGGGAGCATTGCGGCTCAATAGGTTAAATTTGATTATAGATAGTTTATTTTAGGTTTAACTAAGGTTTCTCATTATTTTATTTTAGTTTCTTCTGAGGTTAGCCAAGAAACTCCTGTAGTTGATCCAGAACATGCTATCTATGGAGTTTCCCTTCCTGACTGGAGTAAAAACACAAACATGTTGCCTGCTGTCTATAAACAGATCCACAAAATGTGTTCCTCGCCACCTAATGACACCATAAGTACTAGCCAATTATATCCCATCTTGCTGTCATCTGATCTACCACGTGATAAACTGGGCTATATATGGTCAAAGTGCAACAAAGCTGTCCCAGGGGAATTAAATGAACAGGAACTGTATCTTATTCTTGGTATGGTTGCTTTGGCTCAGGTAAGATTTCATAAGATTGCATAAAGAATTGTCATAGGTGGCACAGTGGGGAGTAATGTGTTTTTCATCTTTCATTGATCAAGTTTCATCACAGTTATCTATTAACTGTGGTTTCATCAATTTCTAAAATACTCCACATGTATAATTTATTCACCTTTTTTGCATGTGGGATGAGGCTTGCAGTTTTTAACTGGGGCCCTGCTTGCCCCCCCCCCCCCCTCTGGATGGCCCTGCAGTTATCAGAAGGTTACGTGGTTCAATTCCCATTAGGGTTTAGAACTTTTCTGAGTATAGACTTGATACACATTCACCCCAAAATCACAAATAAAGTTAGTTTAGTTAAATAGATATTTAATTTGAAGCTTTCGTGTATTTCACATTTCCAGGTTGGTTTACAAGTTAATAAACTTACATTGGAGAAATTAGCATCCTGTGTTACTGCGCCCATCCCATCGTTTCCTGAAAGTATTTTTCCGGTAAGTTGATGGTGGGATCCAGTCAGCAGTACCATGCAGCAGGTGGTGGTCAAGTAATTCACTAATATACTGTAGCCTCTAACCGACATAATTCACTATAAATATACTGTAGCCTCTGACCAACATAATTCACTAATATACTGTAGCCTCTGACCAACATAAGCCAATTCATAGGGTCAACTGCACATCCAAATAATGCACATCCATAAATTGTTAATGAAAAGCCAGTCTCATCTGCATTCTATGATCCAACTGCAATTTTATCCCGATGCAGAATATGTTATTTGGATGCGGACTCTACATTGTGAATTCACTGAAACTGCCACACACCAAATGTTTAAATCTTCTATTTGTTACAGAATGAGGCTATCCAAACATCAGATTCCCCAACAACAACACCCAATCCTCGACCTGAACAAACAACAATACTGCCTGCCGAGCCAGACAGTACAGCGGACACTATCTTCCATCCTACCCCACATGTCGATGCAGTAAAACACCCAGATTGGTCAAAATGGAAAACCTCTAAAGCTGGTCAAATCGATGATAAATTCTCAGATTTTCAACTTTTGAAACCAAATGATACTGGTGTTTCCACTTCAACTTCTCTGCCTAACCTAAATTGGTCAAGTAATGCCACAACCTATTCCCCAAGGCAAATTGGTTATTATTTGTCTCCTTCCTCTGTGTCGTCTGTGACAGGTAGCTCTGAGTCAGCCAATCAGGAACCACCGAAGACTGCGAAATCAGAAGAGTTTTCCCTGTTTGGTGTGCTGCAGAGTTCAACTGAAGGTTAGTGGAACAGCTAGTTATTTGGCTTTGTAAACGAAGAACGTCAAAATGTTTATTTTTGGAGTGAATGAGCTGGGTTTTTGAAATCAAAAGTATGGTTGGTGCCATAATGCTTAATGCAAGTGCATTTCTCCCTTTTTTAATTTACCTCAATTGCATCTACAGTACAAGAGTGCTTCTAGACTGATTCTACCAAACACCACAGCTGGACAGACAGCTGGGTTTCTCCATTTTCCCCCTTAATCAATATGCAATAATATGGAAGCGCCTAAATGGACCTCTAGGGAGAACAATTTGAATTTCAGAACTCGATCGTAAGCTACCCAGCATAAATAAAATTAGTTTAATTCAAGTTTCCTCCTGTAGTAACACTGAATCAATGAGAGATTACCTTTACTGCATGGACCTCTAGGAAGAACAGTTTAGAACTGATAGAGCTATCCAGTATATATAAAGTAAGTTTAGTTTAGGTTTCCTCGTGTAGTAACACTGGATCAATAAGAGATGATCCTTATACTGGACCTCTAGGAAGAACAGTTTAGAACTGACAGAATTATCCAGTGTAAATAAAGTTAGTTTAGTTCCGGTTTCCCCTGTAGTAATACTGGATCAATAAGAGATGACCCTTGCTGGACCTCTAGGGAGTGTATCCAGTATAAATAAAGTTAGTTTAGTTTAGGTTTCCGCCTGTAGTAACACTGGATCAATAAGAGATGATCCTTACTGGACCTCTAGGAAGAACAGTTTAGAACTGATAGAGCTATCCAGTATAAATAAAGTTAGTTTAGTTTAGGTTTCCTCCTGTAGTGACACTGGATCAATAAGAGATGATCCTTGCTGGACCTCTAGAGTTAACAGTTTAGAACTGATAGAGCTATCCAGTATAAATAATGTTACAGTAGTTTAGTTCAGGTTTCCTCTTGTATAGTTATGCTGGACTGATAAGGAATGGCTGGTATGGACCTAGAGCGAGAAAAGTTTAGAGCAAGTTAAAATTTTTTTTCTTTATTTTTCTATAGATCCACAATCGTTGGCCGCAGTTGAAATGAACAAAAGTGATATATTTGGAGAGATGACAGGTGCTAGTGAGCCAAGGCAACAGTTTGGTTCATTTGAGAATAAAGCTGTGCACAGTTCTGCTCATGTGATGTCGGTTCCTCTACAAGCTTCACAGCGCTATACTCTGACAGGGGAGGACGAGGTATGATATTAAGGAGCTTAAAACCAAGCCACACTTTTGTCAACATAGACCTCAGATTGCCGAGGGGGGACTGGATTGAAAACTGTGTTTGTGTTGGTTTGTAGTAATCTTCAACACATATGAAAAAACATAACATTTTAAACGTTTTTTATGTTTTAATTATGTTGAAAGGGCTGTGAAGCATGTAGTAGGGGTTGAGTAGGACAGGAGAAGCAGCTAGGGCTTAGGGGGAGTTGAAGATGAAAGAAAGAGAGCAAGGAAAAAGGGGAGGGTAAAATCTCCCCCCCCCCCTCGCCGAGGCTATTCATTGACTAAGTCTATCAGTTTTAAACTCTTTTTTTCTCTGGAGGTTCAGCATTAAGGTCATCCCTTGATAAAAGGCACATACATAAATTCCTGTGATACCAACACACATTATTTGTCAAAAGTTATTCTTACATCATTCAATGTTTTCTTACCTACATAGAGCGTTGACCATCACGAGAGAGCTTGGTTGAAATGTCTCACAAGTTGTTTCAACGTGATCATGAAATCTTGCCAGACTTTGCAAAATATTTCTGATCCAAATCTGATGAACGAAATATTCTCTTCTCAACATGGAATATCGCATTTCTCAGGTAAAAAATATTGTGCTTGTGATGTTACTCTGAGTGTGCATCCACACCGGGCAAGCTTGAAAAAATATGCCTGTCCATGGTGGGAATCGAACCTACGACCTTTGGAACACTAGCCCAATGCTCTGCCAACTGAGCTACGCGGTCAAAACTAGAACTAACACTATCACATACTCGAACTGACCTGACCACGTAGCTCAGTTGGCAGAGCATTGGGCTAGTATTCCAAAGGTTGTAGGTTCGATTCCCACCGTGGTCTGGCATATTTTTCAAGTCTGCCCGGTGTGGATACACACTCAGCGTAACATCACACAAACATCTTATTCACCTGAGTACACCACACCAACACAACAAATATCATGATTATTAGATTACACTGATATCGAAGGAACTAGACTCAGTTCCGAAATATCGCATCTCGAACCGACCTGACCACGTACAGGTAGCTCAGTTGGCAGAGCATTGAGCTAGTATTCCAAAGGTCGTAGGTTCGATTCCCACCATGGACAGGCATATTTTTCAAGCTTGCCCGGTGTGGATATACACTCAGAGTAACATCACAAACATCATATGCACCTGAGTACAAAACACCAATACAGAAAAAATAAAACAATATTGATCACTTTGTTTTCCAGCCAACACTGCATGCATATACCTGCTTTGGTACGCATGGTTAGGCGTTCCCCATAATGGCAGACGTTTTTTGTCCTGCTTTTTATTTTGCTCTGTCTCATGCCAAAGGTTTGCCACTAATTGTTTACCCATTGATTGCCAGCCATCTTCCCTTGAAGAGTGAAATCATCTTGCATTAAACAGAGTAAAATAATACAGTAAGGCGCCTCAGTGCACAATGCAACATAAATGGTTAATTAGCTTTTCTCACGATGACGAATATCCGCCATTTTTGGGTGGCATCAAATTTTAATTATCCAATGCAGACAATTAAAACAATGTGAAAAGCAATTTTTCAAAATAAACTAACCATTTACAAAGCAAATTTACCATCATTCGTCCAAAAAAATATAAAACGTCGCTGTTATGTGGACTTATCGCACAGACTTCAGCTGAAATGCCACCCAAAAATGGCGGCGTGAGAAATGCTAATTAATTTACATTACATACAGTATACTGCAGTTCCAATTGACTAATTTGTTTTCCATCTCTTTCATCCAGCAATTATTGAAGTTTATTGTGTATCGCAGAGGGTAAAGGCGTCAGTACTGAAATCAGGTATGCTTCCATTTCGCTCGTTCTCCAGAACACAATCAACATGCAGTCATACCCCAGACCATAACCAATATGCAATGCAGATCACCCTACACAGATCGAAATACATTAGTAGCTTATTTCAACTGAAGTCATCAGTGAATAGCCAAGTCACCAGAAGTTCTGCAGATAATGATTTGTGGGTACCAAGGAGTAAATTGACAATCAGACACTACCATAGGCACTGCCATATACAGTGGTAGATAAGAAACTCTTCTTCGGTAGCATCATTCAAAATAAGTACTATTTAAAACACGAGTAGGAGTGTTCTATATGGCATTGAGCACTGTTTGTGTTTCGTAAACCAAAAACTTAAGCTATATTATAATTTTATATATATATTAGCTATGCTAAACTGTTTTTAGTGTGAAGTTTCACTTCACACTATTGTGATGGCTGGCGAATTCACACGAATCAGTCAAACAGTCAGTCAGTCATAGAGTAAACTTTCCGGGGGGTGTATACGATTTATGTTCGTAGTGATTTATTGTACTTAGTCAGTACTTTGAAGGTTATTTAGGCAATTTCTGTTAACTTATTTACATATTCTGTTATCCTTTTGCCAAGTTCATAAAATTTCGAGGAATCGCTTTCGTTATTGTAATTTTTTGTAAATTTTAGAACATTCGCTTCTCATGTTGTGTAAAGGATCTTTACCCCGGAACACCCGATTATTTTTTTTAGTAGCGCAAATGCGCATGCGCTATCAAGCCGTAGATCACGATGGCGTGACGATATGCTAGGAAGGGGTGACAGTGTTGTTTTCAAATGTATAAAGATTTCAGACGTGAATATTGAATAAATCTTTGAAAATCTACGCAATATATAAATTGATCTTATGCATTACGGGCGTTCAATTAAGTGCCGATAATATTTAGACGGTATATTCATTATACAGAGCTAGGAAGGAGCTAGACCGCCTAGACAGTGCAGTCAAGTGTGTAAACATTTCAGACGTAAATATTGAGTCGAATATCTTGATTCTAGGCATTCATTTGAGTGCCGATATTATTTTCACGGTATTCTCATTATACAGAGGTACAGTATGTAGGCAGAAGCGAGACAGTGTTGTTTTCAAGTATATAAAGATTTCAGACGTGAATATTGAGTAAATCTTTGAAAATCTACACAATATATAAATTGATCTTATGCATTACGGGCGTTCAATTTAATAAGTGCCGATAATATTTAGACGGTATATTCATTATACAGAGCTAGGTCGCTAGGAAGGAGCTAGACCGCCTAGACAGTGCAGTTAAGTGTATAAACATTTCAGACGTAAATATTGAGTCCAAAATCTTGCTTCTAGGCATTCAATTGAGTGCCGATATTATTTTTTCACGGCATACTCATTATACAGAGGTACAGTACGTGCAGGCAGAAGCGAGACAGTGTTGTTTTCAAGTATATAAACATTTCAGACATGAATATTGAGAAAATCTTTGAGATTCTACGCAATAAGTAATACAATATATAAATTGATATGCATTTACCGTCGATATTATTTAGACCGTGTATTCATTATACATTCTCATTGACTGTATAAGGTGCTACATCACAGAATAGATGGCTATATTCAGTACAAAGAGCGAAAAATTGCATCAGATTTGTATCAGATCAATAAAGCATAAACAACTATTAAACAGAAGCGGGTAAACGTTTGTACGGCGTTTACGAAGAAAAAAACTTACGAGACTAAAGGAATCAGTTGAGTCAGAGCTCCTTGTATAAATAAGAAAGACAAGGAGATAGCCAACTTGTTTATGTGTTATCGCCAACGTGTTATCGCTAATCGCTTAATTGGCTCGCCAACAAGCTTTATGCAATAGAAGAAAAAAGCAAGGAGGTACATGTAGCCAACGTGTACATTCACGGCCTTGTCTTTGTTTACTGTCTAGTGTCTAGCACAACACCATTGTCAACGGTGCAAACTCGTATTCAGTGCAACGATAACTCTACCAGATCTTACGAGAATCAATCTGTAGTATTCTGTACACAGAACTGTATCAAAGCTTGTCAAAAATGTTTTAAACACTGCTATAACTGTGAAACTATTGAAATCTAAAGTGATATTTATATTCAACACATGCGAAAAGCTGAAAATAGACACACGTCACACTGGGAAAAGTCAAAGGTCAATGAAACTTGTTATTGTGAAACATGTCACAATTAAGTTAAAATGCGGAAGCGGATGGAGCGGATCCACGGAACGGATATGCGGATAAAATACGGAACGGATGAGGATAAAATGCGTCTTTTAATGATGTAACGACGTAGTGCTTATTATTCATAACATATCTTATACAGCTATTTCAATTATAGTTTATTAGATAAATTTAGCATAGCAGTAGCCTCGTGGGGATGCTTTCAGCGACAGCTGCAAATGCAAATGAAAATTTAGAATATGCAAAATTTGGTTGTTGGTGACACAATAAATAGATGAATTGCATCAGTTTCACAAGGCACGTTTCTGATGTGTTAGGCTTGTTTCAAACGTCACGCTACTCGTATGCCGAGCGTATTAAAAGCAATAAATAATGAGATGAAATGCCTTTGGTAACTGTTTATTTCGTAGTGTAAGCCATCAAGCTTTTCTAGGTTGTCGGCGACCCTATATAGTTCTTGCAGTGTCTTTTTAAATTTGAAACTTCACACTATCCTTGGATCCCTAGTTTGTAATACCTTCTTTAAATAAAGTCTATTATTATTATCTGAGTGGATCCATCTTTACCGTTTTCTACATAACATGTTTTCTTCTCTTACAGCACATAATAACAAGAAACTAAAAGAGAGTTTACAAAATATTGATAACATCTGGAAGACATATACCAGCTTCGAGCCTTTCAAGAAGTTGTTGGTAAGTATCGATTTAAAACGTGTTATGAAAAGTTGGAAAATTGTTGCCCCTGTGGCCTCCTGATTCTGCCTTCCCACTTTGTTGACCCTAATCCCTATCCTTGTCTGTGGTTCCCCCTACATGCATTTGACCTTTTTTGACATATTTTTACCTGTCGAAAGAAATTGTTTTGATGAAAGAAATGGACTTGACAATTTTCAGCAAGTCTGCAGTAGTTTGGGACAGTATTTGATTTTTTTAGAATCTGAACCTGTCACTAATTAAATTTCACTGTTTGCTTGCAGCCCGTGGAAAATTTCAACTTTTCTAGTTGCCATGGCAACGACGGTGATGACGTCAACCTGTCGTGCGGTGTATGTTTGCTAAACGTGGATAAATCTTGCATGAATTCTAGACAGAAAAGCCATCGTGCCAAGTTAAACTATGGCAATAGACAATATCATACAACTTGTGCGAACTTTTGGTGCAATAAAGTAGACTCTGTATTGCCTTCTTTACAGCTCAGTAACAGTTTAATATGAAAACGCACCTGCTGAAGAACGAAAATTGTACTCGTGAAATTCATGATTTGTTTGCGAGGTTTGCAGTCAAATATTACCAGGTAATTGTTTTTTCGTTTCTCAATCAATTACAGTATGATATGATCATTTTTTGTGCGTGTGTTGGTATTATGTAGCAGGGGCATACACATTATGCTTAAAAAAATTGCCTATTACAGTGCGTCTACTGTGAGTGGGGCCACTTAGAGAACACTAACCAATCGTATTGCGGAACAAAAAGAAAAATTTAATCAAACTAAAGCTCGTCCAATCAAAAGAAAGATTCAGGAAGCCATTAACTGCAGTGTAAACACTTTTACACATCTATTTTTACCGTTTGACATTCGTTTACTTGTTCAAATTGTTTTTGGCTTAATACTGATTGGCTAATGCGCCGTTCGTTGATTTTTCCAATTTCTGTTCTGCAATGTTATTGGTTAGTGTTCTCTACGTGGCCCCACTTACTATAGACGCACTGTAAGCTTATGCTTAGTGCTCCTGACGTTGCCTCTCAAAGATTTTCCCTATTACGCTAATAATTATGCTACCTCATATTCAATCAAGATTCAAGATCACGAAGAAAACAACTTTATAATTATGCTACCTCAACAACTTTATAATTATGCTACCTCTGATTTTCAATCAAGATTCAATATCACGGAAAAAAAACAACTTTATTTAATTTAACGTTTGTTATACTGTAAAATATCGGAGGTCTCAACAAGCCGCTGCCCTGCAGACGGTTGGCGCATATTACGTAATTAGCACCATTGAACTGTAAGTAAACGATTAGCATTAATTACGTTGGCAAAATGACGTAATCCCGAAACTTTTGCCTATTATGCTCGCTTTCTGAAAATTTTGCCTATTATGCTCGGTCTCAAAAAAGCTCCCTATTATGCTAAAAGAAATCCCGGCATAATGTGCGTGCCCCTATTATGTACTCGGGTCAATATGATGTTTCTCATGTTACTCTGAGTATGCATCCACACCGGGCAAGCTGAAAAGTTAGCTATATCCTTTACTTTTAGTCCATTTTCAGCCACTTCTTCAATTTTTGAAAAAGAGACAAAAATAGCAAAAACCTAAGGCTACCGCCATTACTTTTCGACCATTTTCAGCCACTTCTTCGATTTTGGAAAAAGAGGCAAAAACCAGCACAAAAGTAAGGCTATAGCCTTAACTTTTTGTCCATTTTTAGCCACTTATGTCATTTTTCATAAGTGCATGGGCAAAAACCAGCACAAAAGTAAGGCTATAGCCTTAACTTTTTGTCCATTTTTAGCGACTTTTTCCATTTTTCATAACTGGGAAAAAAAACGGCACAAAAGTAAGGCTATAGCCTTAATTTTTCGTCCATTTTCAGCCACTTTTTCACTTTTTCAGCCTTAACTTTTCGTCCATTTTTAGCGACTTTTTCCATTTTTCATAACTGGGCAAAAAACAGCAAAAAAGTAAGGCTATAGCCTTAATTGTTCGTCCATTTTTAGCCACTTATGTCATTTTTCATAAGTGGGCCAAAAACAGCAAAAAAATAAGGCTATAGCCTTAACTTTTTGTCCATTTTTAGCGACTTTTTCCATTTTTCATAACTGGGAAAAAAAACAGCACAAAAGTAAGGCCATAGCCTTAATTTTTCGTCCATTTTCAGCCACTTTTTCAATTTTTGAAAAAGAGGCAAAAAAACAGCAAAACGTTAAGGCTATATATATAGCCTTTAGTTTTCGTCCATTTTTAGTTGATTTTTCAATTTTTGAAAGCGGAAAAAAACAGCAAAAAAGCAAGGCTATATATAGCCTTTACTTTTCGTTCATTTTTAGCCACTTATTTCATTTTGAAAAAGAGGCAAAAACAGCAAAAAAGTAAGCCTATAGCCTTTACTTTTCGTCCATTTTTTGCCACTTATTTCATTTTTGAAAAAGTCGCAAAAAACGACCATCATAGTTTTCCATTTCTGGCAATTTTCCCCGCCAATATGCTAATTGTTTCGCGTTTTCGGCAATTTTACGCGTCAATATGCTAATCGTTTCGCGTTTTCGCCGATTTTACGCGCCAATATGCTAATTGTTTCGCGTTTTCGGCAATTTTCCACGACAATATGCTATTTTTTTAGCGATTTCGGCAATTTTCCGCGCCAATATGCTAATTTTTTCACGTTTTTGGCAATTTTCCGCGCCAATATGCTAATTTGTTCGCGTTTTCGGCAATTGTCCGCGCCAATATGCTAATTTTTTCGCGTTTTCGGCAATTTTCCGCGCCAATATGCTAATTTGTTCGCGTTTTCGGCAATTTTCCGCGCCAATATGCTAATATTTTAGCGTTTTCGACAATTTACGGCAAAACGTAAGGCGTTTTCGTCCATTTTTTGCCACTTATTTCATTTTTGAAAAAGTGGCATATTTTAGCCACTTACGTCATTTTAAATAAGTGGGGAAAAAAAGTGGCATATTTTAGCCACTTATCTCATTTTTCATAAGTGGGCCAAAAACAGCAAAAAAGTAAGGCTAGAAACTTCATGTATTAGCCAACAGGAGAAATCTAGGGGCCCCATCTAGCGTATTATTTTATATAAGTTTACTTGTAGGCGAAACGCCAGAAATGTTTTTTGCAGGGCACCGCATTTTAGTACTGTGTCTGGTTTGTGTAGTAGTCTGTGCTTGTGTTGAGGAAAAAGCCATATTTTAGTTGAATATGGTTGGGTAGAAAGGAAAAAACACTATATAAAGATGACTAGGAAAGGAAAAGGTTTCTCTGGGATACAAAGGGCAATAATAAAGCGAAAGAGGAGAGCAAAGCATCGAGGAGACGGCTAAGACATCGTGATGATGAACCTGCGTGTGTATAAATGTGAATAGCTCTTTGGGGAAGACGATGAAATTACAAAACGATGCTAGAGCTACAGAGTTGGTTGATGTTTTTCCAGGTCTGCCTGGCAATGATGAAGATGGATATAGGTTGAGAAATATAAAACATTTAGCCTCTGTGTTCTCTGAAATTCATGTTCGCGATGAAGGTATTTAGTGATGATTTGTTTTTAAATTGGCTTTGCCAGTTTGCCCTATTACCCAAGTATTATATTTGTTTGTTATCTTGGCATTGTATAAGTGATAAAATGAAATTCTTACATGCTGTAAGTTTTATCAGCTATTTTTGCTTTGTTTATTTATTATATAAATTATGTGCACCTTTGATATATGCCTTGGGCTGCTATGAGTCATCTCTATGTCGAACCTACACCTCAACTAATAAGATTTTGCCTTGAACTTTTAGGTAAACAAGAAGAGCTGAAGCCAACTTTTGTATAACTGAGTGAATGATACAAAGTTGCATGAGAGATGGGTACATGGCACAACTTCAAAACCCAAATGAATGCCTGAACCCCTGGTATCAACCCGTATCGGCTTGATGTCCAAAGCATAAACATCACAGCGTCCACACTGTTCACTGTACTGGTGCTTCAGCTTTTTGCCATTTCTGTAGTGGTGCTGCAAGCAGAGAAATGATTATGGAGGGACTTTCCATGCCTGCTGGTCACCATACAAGGCATAATTCCTTTGTACGTGACAAGAAGAGGTTAAGAAAATCTGATTTTCATACCAACCAGAAGCAAACGAAACGTCGCGAATGACACGCCTTCCTGCCGATACAAAGGGAAGGGGTTCTTCATGAAGCTGAGGGAGTCAGTTTTGAAGCAGCAAGGTTTTAAACAACCCCCTGTTTCATTTAATGCATGAAATAATGACTTGCACAGTCCAAATATTTACTATTGCACTTTTTAAGACATGGCAACTTTTAAAGCTGATTTTCTCCAAATACCTGTTTTTCGCAGTTGAGAAAAGATAACTCGACCAGTATTTGCTCGATTGTTATGAAATTTTCAGGAATTGTTGCTCTAAGAGAGCTTTCTTGGATAAGCATAGAGATTTTTGAAATGTCTAATTTTAAGGATGTTATGAATCAAAACGTGACGACTTTCTTGTTCACAAACTTTGACCAACCACTGTGTCAATTCCTTTTATAATATAAAAAAGTTCTATGCTTATCCAAGAAAGCCACTTGTAATCTTTCATTTGGCACAAAAAATAAGCAATTTAATGCAATACCCAGTCTTAAATCTTTTCTCAAAGGAAGATGGGGAACTCGCAGCATGTGGTAGCCGGTGTCGGGTTACAATGTAATTATTGATAATATAAATTATATTTTCAGAATCTATGTTTCATTAGCTTTCATATGATATATAGTTTGTCATGGTTTAGAGTAAAACCTGATGTGTTATGGCTATCTGAATGAACAGCTTAAAGTTTGGGTTAATTCCCACCTTAAGGTGAGGGTCAGGTATCAGCCCTGATATATAATAATACGGGTCACACAAAGTATATACCCACATCAAGACACTTCAAATGATGTTTTGGTCAGTTTTAAATTTTTTGGTCAACACTTTTAATACAATTATCAGTAGTATCTAATCAAAAATAGGTACGCGCTGCGTACATGTGGGTAGCCTGCATTAATTGTTGTTAAAGCTGCAATCGTCCACAAAATATATTGAGACTTTTAAATTACTCCCCTCCCCCCTTATTTCAATGTTGAAATCCTACTGTACCTATCCAAAACGAACATAAGGTGACACGAGAACCGCAACTGTGTCACTGGCAGTTGAAATTAAACGTATGGTGTTTGAATTAAACTATATTGTACTATCTAACAACATTGAAATCGGGGGAGGGGGTTTGTCTCAAATATTTTGTGGACGATTGTGGAGTAATACCGAGGTTGGAGTAATACGCGCAACAAAATTGCTGCAGCCAAAATTTCGGCAACAAAATCTGATTTCAACGCATTTTAAGTAGAAATGTTGACAAAACATTTCAATTAACATGCGCAGAAATCAGTTTTGTTGCAAGTTGCAGCAATTTTGTTGCCCATATTAGTATATTACTTCACCTTAATTGCTATTGTCAAATTCCGAATTTACTGAAAGAAAGTATTAAGTAAATTGAACACAATTCAAATATTATACACACATTTAATCACATACTGAACATCAGATATGACAAAAATACGTAAACGACTGTTACGTGCATTTTTCAATATAAAAAGAAAAATATCAAATTTTAAACACTTTCAAAATGCAAAGCATTTTCACAGTTTCATATAGTAAAAGTCCAAGTATGAAATTAAATGGTACTTCATTATTACTGTATTTTTGTTGATTTTAAAATGTTTAGCGAGCAAACATTGTTGTGTTACAATCGTGGTTGGGTCAAACAATACGTGGAAAGCAAAAATAGCGAAGGTAAAGACAGGGGCGGCGCTAACCCTCTTCGAGTGGGGGGGGTGAGTGATCTTTTGCCGACTGTTGTTTGGTAATTTTGCCGAGTCATTAGCCTATAGTGAGGGTCCTGAAGGTGGGGGGGGGGGGGTCCCAATCCCATTTTCCACCTGAAAGTTTGGCAAAATCCCAGTCCCAGTTGGATTTTTATTAGAAATCCCAGTCCGAGTTATTGAAATCCCAGTCAATAAAAAACCCTTTATTTATCGGTAGAATAAACAGTTTTAAGACCTTTTAAGCCACCGTGTGTGCAAGTGGCGGACATTTTATGAAATATTGGGGGGGAGGAGGCTCGTGCCGAAGGCACGGAAAATTTTAAAATTTGAATCCCGGAAATGGCATTTGCATCATTCTGAGACACGCATAATCAGAAAACCCAAAATCCCTGTCGGCATCCATTTTGCAGCCCTCGAAAAGTCAAAACTGTCAAAATTGATGTCGGCAAAAGAGGGCCGACCTAAATCTGACCTAGGTCGGCACATCTCGGCATTTCTTAAAATCTGTTCCACGTCTTGGAGCACTATTAATCACACATTTACGAATCATTGAAATCGGAATATAACTGGAACGTTACCTCCAGCCGGAAAATTCGAAAGTTGGAGCCAAATTTTAACTCCAGACGCGCGAAATTTGATCTTCAAACATCTAACGTATATACACAATACCCGTCAGTTTTTAAACCTTACACCGTAGTGTGTTCAGTTAATCGAACTACGAATCGAATTCTATAATCGCTGACATTTTAAAAGTTATCAGCATAAAAAATTCTTACTTTGGTTGAATTAAGGTGGGCAAAAATTTGCATTTAGCCCGGCATTGCTGAATGCCGACCTCGTTTTCGAGGACTGATTTTGCCACGTCTTGCTGACGTAATAAGTGATACGGACAAAGGATAAAGGTCGCTTCGTGCGAGAAAATTCGCTAGTGGAAAACCGACTTTATTGCCTCTTTTATAGAACAGTATAATAAGCAACAACAACAACAACAACAACAACAACAACAACAACCACCACCACCACCACCAAACAAATTTAATTACTTAATTTTGATTTCAATAATATTATGTTTTTGGACTAGCTGCCAGAAGTGAAGATGCTGTATCATAGGCTGCCCAAAAGTGCGTGTTGTAATTTTTACCCTCGCGCGTGGCGCTCGGGCATGCATCGAGTCTACTCAGTTTATTATTATGACATAATTATTATTATGACAGTCATAATAATAAACTGAGTAGACTCGATGCACGCCCGAGCGCCACGCGCGAGGGTAAATATTACAACACGCACTTTTGGGCAGCCTATGCTGAGATAACAATTTGCCGATTAGCTGACGAGTGGACAGAGGAGGTTGGACAGCTAATTAGCGAGTTGTCACGTGAGCTCTCGACCAATGAGATCGCTCTATTTTCCATCGTGTTATCTGCAGAATTTGGACAGAAAAATTTGCATTCGACGGAAAATAAATCGGAAAAAAATATTAATATTAAAATTTTCTTGCAAAATCTCAAGTGTTGTAGTACTACTACTAAAGATCTGGCGATATCTGCAAAAATCTCTCAGGTAAACTTTATTTTCAATGTTATTTTGATGTTTGAAGTTAGTCGACTCCCCGCGACGTGTTGACTCAAGTCTAAATATGTTTACGATGTTTAAAATGAAATATCTAGAATTCCCATGGTTCGATTTTCTTCATTTTTGGTAGTCGTCAAGAAAAATATATAAGCTTTAAATCTGCTGGAATGATCCCGGTGATCCCCCGGCAGTTTTCGAGATATTGACCGTTGAAGTGACTACTGTCAACTCGACGTTCGCTAAAATGGCGTCTAATACCGTGGAAAGAATTTACGCCATCAAAGATAATATTTTCAATGAATTGTTGTTAAAGTGCTAAAATATTATTTAGAAGACTTAGGAGTTGTTTTAATATTTTTGTAGAATTTATATCTGTGCGATTTTCAAAGTTTTGTTGTCTTTGGCCGACGCGACTGGATCGTGTACGTATTTCAAGACGAGCTGATCGCCTGATCCTGGGGTTTTTGCATAGATATCTATGGGTTTTTGTGGCAAATCGAGCTACGGAATCCTCAGCATGAACAAATCAGTGTCATAACAGCCCATTTCAAACCATCAGAGAGCTCCACTTGTTTTAAAGCAATAAAACAAGTTTTTATTGTATTATCATATGTATCATATATAATTAATATAATCAAATTAAGGGAGTGGTCATTATTTATGGGGAGGGGGGTTGGTAAATGGGGAAAATAAGGATTAAAAACTTCGTTGACCCCTCCTCTCACTGAAGGGAAACTTTTTGTGCCTCCCCCCTCTTAAAAGTAGAAACTTTTCTGACCCCCCCCAGTATGGATTGAAAAATTAACAGCAATGAAACAGGCATGCATTGCAGGTAAAGTTAGATATTAGGACAATCTGTTTAAATCTAGCTCATGATGTTTTACCCTGGTGAATATGATTCAACCATATATGATTAAAAAATATATATTATGTGTTACTACTGCAATGCAACATTTGTCCTACCATAACCCTAACCCATGGCCCGTCTTCATACAGCGAAATGATTTGAACACAGGGCTTTTTTTAAGAACTTGTCTGGGGGGTGGGCATCTACAAAAAGGGACCATACTATACTGAGTGTGGAGAGATGACAGATGGTTGTTGGTGACAAAAAGTTTGGTGTGGTATTGTATGTATTAGTAGGGGGGGGTCTGGGGAAAATTTTTTTGTATTTTTCCCCAGGACTGAAATGTGAGCATTTTCTGAAACAGATTTTTGGATATACAGCGTTACATTGTGCTTTGATAGACCGAATCTGATCAGTTAAGTGTACTTGCATGGTATGTTTATGTAAATACCACAGCTGGGTCACTCAGGGGGTAGGAAGCTTGTTAAACTTAGTGGGCACCACTCCCACTAAGGCACTACCATGGTTGGCACAGAGCAGGGAAATTTTGAAAATTTTGAGTCTCTAGATCATTGGAAATGGCATTTTCAGAGTCTTCTTTTTTGCTATTTGTGATTATAGAAACCAAAACTCTAGACATGGTATTTAAGTTCAAAAACTTTTTTACCCCCCCCCCTTTCTCTGTGTTAAAACTTTTTTGACCCCCCTATTTATAAGGGTAAAACTTTGTTTGCCCCCCCCTCCCATTTACCACACCCCCCCCATAAATAATGACCACTCCCTAAGTAGCATGTTATTGTTGGCATCTTGGATCAATTTAATAAATATATAAATAGACATCTTCTTGTTTTATTGTTGCATCAATTTTAATTGGAAAAAATATTCACAAAGTAGATCAAGTGTATGGATAAATTATTCATTTACTAAAGTACATTTTTACAGTTATTTATGCGACCTCGTACCCAGAGTCCTTCCTCTTGGGGAGAAAAGACCCTGGTAGATGCTGGTCACGTGATCTGCTAGAATCTAGCAGATTTCTAATTAACTATCTTGAATTCCTTTAAAATAAATTTAAATTCCTTTAATTCTTATAAATTAACATATAAAAATCATCCAAATATCAAATATTTATTGACCTCATCTTGGATTGCTAATTAAAAATCTGCTAGATTTTAGCAGATCATGTGACCAGCATCTACCAGGGTCTTTTCTCCCCTGGGTACGAGGTTGTTATTTATGTACTTAGTCTTATTTGCATGAGTGTACATGACAGATTGGTTTAATTAGATATACCCAGTTATATCATTTATAACATATGGTTTGTTTAAAAATGCTGGAAAAAACAAAAAAGTTAGCCAATTGAAATAAATGCACTAACAACTTGCTAAACATAGCTAATTGCTATTTATTATATAAAAACATCTGTCAACATACACTCATGCTTTTTCCTACCACTTGAGTCGCCACTCGCCAGGTTTCATTATGAAAATTTTTGGATTAAATCATGGGCGGATTTACTGGGGGGGGGTTAACCCCCCCCCTTAGAATCTCTCTAACCCCTCTTATAAAGTGTTCAACCCCACCAAAATTTTGCTTCAAAAGTCTTTAACCCTAATGCCAAACCCCTGTAAAAAGCTCACTCAGTGGTGCTGCTTGCCCCCCCCCCGAAAGGTTTCCACCCCTCCTTTAAAAAAAAATAAAAAATCCACCATTTTTAATTAAAAAAGTCAACCCTATACTTGATACACTGAACATAGACAATAGACATCCACGACATCTGCAGCAATTAGTGGGTGCAAATAGTTGCATATTTGAAAAGCAATATAACCAACATGTTGTCATCCAGTTCCATAGTCTAGTCAATAGGCAATTCCAGCTTTTAATTTATGTGTGCAGGGGGCAACAGGCAGTAAGGTATCATATTGCTGATTATGCTGAAAAATTTTAATAAAATAAACTAAAAGCTGGAATTGCCTATTGCACTTGGGTCCCTTGGATTCAATGGTGCTGGCCATATTCTTACGTTCACTGTTTTATCTTGTTCATGAAGAGTGAGGTATTATGTCTTAATTTAATTTTCCAAATGATGTTGGTAGTTTTTCTCACGAGCATCACCGATGCACTTGAATGCTACAGCATGGGCGATTTCCTCCTCATCACTTTCATCTTCTCACTTAAACGTCATCACTTTCTGCCCTATCACCTTGATCACCTCTTTCATTATCATATCCATCCTGAACAGGCTCAAGACCAACCAACCACTCAAGTAAATCTCTTTCTACAAAATCATAACAAGAAAATTATTATTTGATACATTATCATCTCTAAAATTAGCAAACATGTAACCTCTAAAATTATATTCTCACAACCATCGACAACTAGATACAAACAGGCATCATACTCAGAAAAATGTATAAAACAATACATACAAATAACTGAATAACAATATACCTTCAGGCTCATCTGAGAACCAATGTATAAACTATACACAGTGCACATATATGTAAAAATCCATACAAACAGGTATCATACTTCAGCAAAAATTTATTAAACAATTCGTTT